TGATAAAGTGAACCCATTTCATTAAAACAGGGGGGACTGGCTGGTGTAATTTTGTACTGGGGCAAACAAACCCCTGCTGCCAGTGCAACAGTGGCCAAATGCAGCTGAACCTGGAAGACTGAACTGTAACATAGAGGCGCAAGGCTGGCTGCTGGAGGGAGATTGTTTTGCAGTGAGACCATCCAGCCTGGTCCAAAGGAGCAGATAAGCTTTAGGGAAAACAAGCCCTTCTTTGAATGTGAAATAGAAGCAGCAAATTGACAGCAAGCTCGGGATAGTGAACAGAGCAGTACAGCAGGACCCAGTTAATCACTGGAGATAGGATCTCCAACACAATGATGGGATAATCAGCCCAACAGCTCCTGCTGGGGCACCTTCCCTCTCCCTGCAGACATCCTGGCAAGTGGGTAAATGCCACCACACCGATGGGATGACCTGACTTCCAAGGGGACACCTGCAGCTCCAGTTGCCTGCATCAGAACCTGGTGATGGCGATGGAAATGGCAATGGGAAACTGCCCCCCCCAAAATGGAAATGGGGAATGGAAAATAGCCTGAAAAGCACCACATTGCTGTAATTACATTCATTTTGAGCAATGCCCAAGCAAGCTGGCTGCTCTGGCTTTCTGGCACCAGGCTGGACTGAATGGCAAATGGCACCTTTTCAGTCTGCCTTCAGTCCCAGCCTCTGTTAATGGCAAAAGACTTGGCAAGGTTTTGCTCCGATTACTGGAGAAGGTTTTAGAAGCATTCCTCTATGACATTCCTCCCCTCACCCATACGGACAATCCAGTTTTCCCTCTTGGGGGTCTCCATCTGGATTGACAGAAGAAGACATCTATCCTGTGGGTGCATGCAGCTCCTGGGGCCTCTTTGTGTCAGGCTGTTTTAACAACAAGCACAGCCCAGCCCCTGGAGCAGGCACTCCAGCGTGTGAGAAGCCCAGCACGTCCATCTCTTTATGCCTGGATTAATCAGTTGATGAAATACGGATTATGGTGATTTTTACCTGTTTTTTTTGGGTGGATTGGTGGGGTTTTTTGTGTTTTAAGGTCCCCCATATTGACAAAACGTGAGCGTGAGGCAGGCTGATGTCAGGATTTGACTTGGAAAAGCACCTCAGGATTGACCTATGAAACTCATGATGTCCTTATCTGCACTGGTTTGCCAAAACTCGAGCTGGCAGATGGGTGTTTGTTCAGTGGAAGCGAGGAGCACACCAAAGAGCGATGCCTCCGACTGCCCTAAGCAGATGATGATTTTGTCTGATTCTGATGGAATTCTGAACCCGACACCTTGCAGAGAGACTGCCAGGGAAGTGACCCTGGGAAAGCCACGATAATAGCACACGGGTTTGCCCAGATACTTTAAGATTTGCCTATGTAAGTGTTAAATTATGCATACACTTCAGAGCTAAATGAATCTGAATTCATCTACTGACACATTCATGTACCAGAGGGCTGCCAAGGAGATACATTCAGATTTCCAAAGCTAGAGCTTTTCAGGCAGAGATTGAAATGGGATTTGGGATTAAAGGGGAATGCCGTCTCACTAGAAAGCTCCTAACAAGGTGTCCTGATGCTGGAAGCAAGGTGGTACGTTTCTGTCAGGGATATTGTAATTTCATCTGTTCATTGACTGAGGAAGACAAAGTCATTTCTTGCCCCTTCTGTATCCTTGGCTTTGTTGGAGGAGGCTCTTCTGTTCCTGACTTCTGAATGTCATTGATAAGGTTAAACTGAGCCACGATTTGCAGGGCAAAGGCATCAGGAACTCAGTTCTGCATGGAGAACTGAGTCAGATTTAATCCTTGTTATGATAATATAACACATTATACTGCAGTGGAGACGTGGAGGTACCAAACACACCCAGTGTACTACATGTACCCAAACCCCATTGAGGTCAGTATTGCATCTCCAGCAGTCATCTGCGGCTGTCACCCAGGGAATAGCAAAAAGCATGATGCAAATATGCCCAGGATGCTCCAAACCTCCAGCCATTTGTGCCCCAAAGCTCCCTAAGGCTGGGGGATGCTGCAGTGCATCTCCTCCCTGGGTGATTTCTGTTTCCTTTCTATTCCTATCATTTTCCTAGAAGGGCCTGACCTTCCCCACCCTTGCTGTATCCCTTCACCTGGCACGTTTATTAAGAAGGGAATGATGCTCCAAGCATCTGTGACTCCTGACCAGAGATCAGTCTCAAAACTGACCAAACCATGACAGTAGTGCAGAAATGCTCTACACTGGGGAAGGTGAGCAGGAAGGTGCAATGTGTCTTTAAAAAGCTTCCTGCCCAGGAAGACCTGGTCCAGCACCTCGCCCAGCAGCCCAAAATATGTGATCGATGAGGCTTCAACATTCTTGTCATGTCTCCCCTTCCCTTTGCCTCCACTTCCACAGCCTCAGAGGCGTGCTGTGAGGTCTGGCTTGTGTAAAGGCAGTCTGTCAGAGCTGGGACACGCAGCCCCATGGCCTGCAGCTGGACTAAGTGAGGAGTCTCCATCAAGCATCCATCTAAATGTCTTGCCTCCGCGGCATGCCCTCGGGTTCGGCACTCCTTTGTTTTTAAAGCCAGAGTTATTAGAACCAAGAAAGCATGCAAAGAGCTGGGAATACTTTGTGTGCCCGAAATAAAGGAGGGAGGGAGGAGGGGGAAAGAGTTTCTGTACCTGTTGGGATCATGCTTAGGGAAATAGGGAGAGACCCATTATTAGGGTCTGGTTTTAAAGAGAGCATCAGGGTCTGTTTTTAAACAGGGAGAACAAAGTCCCATGGCTGTGAGGGGAAAGCAGGGAGGTGTAGGCAGAACAAAGGAGCCCCTACAAGGACCCAGCTTTCCCTTTGGTGCTGCAAGGCTTTAAACTACAAGCCAGAGGAGAGCGATGGGGAATGCACCGATGGGGGTTTGAACGCACAGGGTGTCTGCAGATTGTTTGATAGAGAAAATCCCCACCGTTGGCTTGGGCTTTCTAAGTGAGCGGTGAATGTGAAATCCTTTTTCTCCAGTAGGTGCTACACAGGAATGACCTGGGGACACATCAGACATTGATAAGTGACTCTCTCCATCCCCTTTTATCCTGTTTACAATACAGAGGCTTTCCTTGAACAAAACCCTTTCTTTCCCCCTCCATGCTCCTGGCTGTTGTGTCTAAAGGAGCCAATTTGCTGAAGGACTCCTCCTGGAAGGACTTGAAGTCTAACAGCAACAGACGCTCCTCTTGTTTCTGGCAAACCCCAATGTCTTTACAAAGGAACAGAATCCATTCCTGTATCTCAGTACCTGCCGCTTCATCAAACTTGTTCTGATACTTCCTAAAGCCTTGGCCAGGAGAGAAATCCTGGCATCTATCTTCATTCAACATCTCTATTTCCAGAAAGTGTTTGAAAACGGGGTGTAATGGCTCAGATAAGGGAGAGCGAAGAACAAGGAGTGAAGGGATTTGTCCCTGCTGCTAACTGACGCAATGCTTCTTACTGATGTGCTGTTTATTCTTAGGCTGATGTGATTTCTGTGGCTTGAGTTATTAGATATCAGAGGATGATCTTTTGTCAGAGACCTGGCTTGCTGCATGGCAGGGCAGGGCAGGTAAAGTGTAATCCATCAAAGGATGGGTATGTAGAATCATAGAATAGTGAGGGCTGGAAAGGACCTTAAGATCAAGTTCCAACCCCCCTGCCATGGGCAGGGACACCTCACACTAAACCATGGCACCCAAGGCTCTGTCCAACCTGGCCTTGAACACTGCCAGGGATGAGGCATTCACAACCTCCCTGGGCAACCCATTCCAGTGCCTCAGCACCCTCACAGGAAAGAATTTCCTCCTTATATCCAATCTAAACTTCCCCTGTTTCAGTTTTAACCCATTACCCCTTGTCCTATCACTACAGTCCCTAATGAAGAGTCCATCCCCAGCATCCCTATAGGCCCCCTTCAGACACTGGAAGCTGCTCTGAGGTCTCCACGCAGCTTCTCTTCTCCAGGCTGAACAGCCCCAACTTTCTCAGCCTGGCTCCATACAGGAGCTGCTCCAGCCCCTGAGCATCCTCGTGGCCTCCTCTGGACTTGTTCCAACAGCTCCATGTCCTTTTTATGTTGAGGACACCAGAACTGCACACAGTGCTGCAGGTGAGGTCTCACGAGAGCAGAGCAGAGGGGCAGGATCACCCCCATCAACCTGCTGGTCAAGCTCCTTCGGATGCAGCCCAGGTTATGGTTGCTTTCTGGGCTGCAAGCGCACACTGGCGCTGGCTCATGTTCAGTTTCTCATCGACCAACATGAGAACAAGAATCTCTCACTGATTAAAGATACATACTTGTTTCACATGTGTGTGATGCTCAGTGACTTGCTCTTACGTGATTAGCCTATATGCTTAACTGACACAACCTTAACTGTAAATGAGCGGCAGCAGAAGAAATCAACACTTTGGAGACTGTTCCCATCTCAAGGTATCAGATGATGACCAGAGAGCCTTAAGCTCTCCCACCTCTGAAAGTACTTTCTCATAGCGTCCCAGCCTGGTTTGGGTTGGAGGGACCTTAAAGCCCATCCAGCTCCAACCCCTGCCATGGGCAGGGACCTCTTCCACTGGAGCAGCTTGCTCCAAGCCCCTGTGTCCAACCTGGCCTTGAGCACTGCCAGGGATGGGGCAGCCACAGCTTCTCTGTTCGGGTGCGGTTCACGCCCCCCCCCGGGACGATCCCCGCGGCATCCGGAGCCTGGGCGCGATGCGGGGACTCGCAGGGGGGTGCGGACACGGGTGCGGGAGCTGCCCGCAGGGGACACCCCGGCTCCGGGGTCCCCGCTGGCTCCAGAGGCAGGGACCCGAGCCCAGGCGGAGCCGGCCGCAGCCCCCGGCGCTCCCAACCCCGCTCCCGCACCGCGGTGCTGCAGTGCCCCCTGGCGGCCGCGCAGGCGCCTTGCAGGGAGGTGGGAAAGCGGAAGCGGAAGAGTCGGCGGGGCCGGAAGCGGACGGGGGTGACGTGGGCAGCGGCGGAGCGGCGGCGGCGGGGCGCGGGGAGCTGCCGGCGGCATGGAGGGGCTGTACCAGCACACCAACAAGTGCGTGAGCCCGCGGGTAGCGCGGCCCGGCCCGGCCGCAGCGCCGAGCATCAGGGCCGTGGGGAAGGGGACGGGCTGAGGGGCGGGTGTGGGGCCTGCGGCCCAGTGCTCTCATTGCGCCTCTTGGTGAGCTCTGAGGCAGAAGCGCTTCCCTGTGAGGGTGCTGAGGCGCTGGCACAGGGTGCCCAGAGAAGCTGTGGCTGCCCCATCCCTGGCAGTGCTCAAGGCCAGGTTGGATTCAGGGGCTTGTAGCAAGCTGCTCCAGTGGAAAGGGTCCCTGCCCGTGGCAGGGGTTGGAGCTGGAGGAGCTTTAAGGTCCCTTCCAACCCAAACCAGTCTGGGATTCCTTAGAAACAAGTGTGTCTGTGTTAGCAGCTATCCATACGTTAAGGCATACTGATTTAGCAGGATTTTATGGCAGCAGGGGTTGGAGATGTCTGACGGACACAAATTAGATCCCTTTGGGAAATGTGTGACCCCTGTGCCGCTGTGTCACAGATAAAGGTGATCTGGGGAGGGAGGAGCGGGGTCAGATCTTCCCTCTGCTGTGCTCAGCACTGACCAGGTCCTGCTGTGAACCGGAACTCTTGACTTCGTGGTTAGTGTGGATTGGGTTGAAGTGGTGGATTTCAGCGTGCCAGGTGTGGGGGAGCCAGTTCAGGTTATAAATACAGAAAGGGAGCTACAAGTGAAGTGGGAACGTGAAGCCTTTTCACCTCCATTTTTGGTTTTAAGCTTATTTTGTAGATGCACATTGAGAACACAGCTTTCTCCATCCTGAAGAATGGGGTTGGGGTTTTTATGCTCAGTGATGCACTGAATGTAGCTCATTCCTTTTCTGTTTGAAAAAAGCACTTTTAAGTAAAAGAAGCTGAATACTGAGGCTTTGACAAATGATTTGATTTCACAGCTGTCAACTGACTTCTGTTCATTTGCTCCTTGTCTTTTGAAAGGCAAGTCCATGAGGTCCAGTCTTACATGGGGCGCCTGGAGACTTCAGACAAAGAGTCAGTGCACTGTAAGTAGTTAATTGGTGAGACAAGTCCCATTCCAGTAGTGGTTTGATTTAGCTTTCATCATTAACCTGGGTGCTTTATCATGGGATGTACAAATCGGGCTTTCCAGTTGTGATCAGCTGGTGAGACACATCAGCAGTTGGAAATGCATTAGAATTACTTTGCTGTTTCACTTCAATAAGGTGATGTTTTATGTGAAGGGCAGAGCAGAAAAGATAGAGCAAGACTTTGCTTCAGATCATCTTCCTGTTCTAAGTCCTTCATTGACAGGTAGTGCTTACTGTGGCTGCTTCTGCAGTGCCTTGAGATGGGAATGCCAGGTACTTTTTGATGCTGTTAAATGTTGAAACTCATTGTCAGGGTCTGCTGTGGAGGCCTTCAACATAAACAGGTTATAAAACCCCGCAGTGATGCAGTCATGGAGGTTTAATGAACACATGGATGTGGATGTAACTGCAAATTCAGTTTGATAGAAGCTCAGAATGCTGAGAAATGTGATTATGTGTCTGTTTTGTCATTTTACTATTCCTCAAGCGTCCACTAATTGGCAGTCTTTCCCAAAATATGCTTGGTCCAGTTTCTGGGGAAGATGCCATGATTTGGAGTGCAGGAATTTAAGCAGGTTGATTGTTTTTCCATCAGAACAAGAACCTGTAATTTCATCTGCTGATGAGAAATACATAGAACAAGTAGGTTTGAAATTGCTTCAATGAATTCAGACCATAAGCCTGTGCTAATAAAATGACTGTAATAAAACACTGTGATATTTTCTGGCAGGACTTTGGCAAGTGTATTTTGGACCTGTGTTTGAAACTCCAGTTTCTGTATAAGTAATTGCTAATGGGCCTCCTCAGGAAGTTCTGCAGGGGAAGGACACTGCTAGGATTGTGTACCATTTCACACAGACAATAAATGAACATACTGTTTCACTAGATATATACTTAAGGACGGATATGTGCTCTAGACATTAGCATTTCAGAATTTATAGGAAAAAGGATTATGTTTTGGCTGGAGAGCAGGAATAAAAGCCACGAAATCAAACTTTCTGTTAGTTTTCCAACTGTGGGCGAATAATCCTTCTTGCTCAGAAATGCATGTGATGACCAAGATAATAATATTAGTGTTTGGACTAGTGAAAGCTAACATAAGTCTGTCTGCTCTCCTGATTGCTTTTCTGTTAACTTTAGCTGTACTAAATGATGGAGAGATGAATTAGGACACTTCGATTGATTTGTGTCTATATATGTAAGCTAGTTACTGTTGGTGTGAGATCAAAGGGCAAAGAAGAGGCATTGTAGGTGCTCTTTGCTTCTCTGGGTTCTGCTGTATGGGATTCTCTGAGGAGTCCTGAGGTACTGTGGAATAGCTGGCAGTTAATAATGCTTTTCTGAGTACCTCTTGAGTCTAAATGCAATAAGAACAAATGGTGCCTGTAGGATTTGGTGGTGATTTATAGCAGGTCTGAGCCTGCAGGACTCTCCTTGTGACTGCACAGACGTGACAGTGCCTCTGTCCTCTGGATAGCCTGGACGTGCTCTGGAGGGTGTGTACCTGCAGCCCTACAGCTCACCTTCAAACCCACCTGGCGGGTGATTAATACTGCTCCTGTCTTTTGCCCTTCTGTGCAATTCTCTTGGGTTGTGAAATGCTGGCTTGTGACATGGTTAAATGCAGTTGTCAAATAAGAAGGGGGATGTGGCTTGTACTGAGTTTTGCTGTGCAGTGTAACTGAAAGCGTATGACTCTTGCCCCAGTTGTATCCATTTCCCACCTCATTAAAGTGCGTGAGTTTGCACTGTGTACTATTGTCCCTTTGCTATTTCTACACAGGTTAACAGAAGCAATTGCAATATAGATGATTGCAGAGGCAATTATGGTGGCCTTGTTTTCTCCCTTGAAAGGGCTTTGGCCAGGTCTTCCTGAGCTATTTGTCTAGTCTACCAGTTCCTGAATCCTTCCCATGCTCTGTCAATCTCCCCTGCTGCAGGCATTGATGATGTGTATTAACTCTCTGTTAACAGTTTGCCATTAAACTGCCATTGTTGTGAGAATCATTTTGGCTATTGGCTCCTGTGAGCGAATCAGTCCAAGGGAACAGGGAGAGGATGAAGGGGAGAATGTGGGATCTTTAAATCCTAATACATGGAGCTGATAGGAAAAGAGGCTCAGATACCTTAAAAGAGCAGGGGGTTTCCTTGCTCCTTCCTCAGAGAAGGTGGAGGGAAAGGCAAGAGTCTCAAATTATTGTGGTAAAGAAGTGGCTTCTTATGATATCTGGAGTTCTTGGTTATTGATGATTTTTTCTTGTCTGGTAAGGATTTGCATCTGTCAGGTTTTAAACCCTGGTTTGAGTGCTTTTTTAATTCCCTTGCAGTGGTAGAAAATGAAATTCAGGCCAGAATAGACAATATCTTCAGCAACCTGGAACGTCTGGAAATCCTGTCCAGCAAAGAACCTCCCAATAAGCGACAGAATGCTAAACTGTAAGTCCACCTTCTTTGCTATGATAGTGTAGTCTTTGGTATTATTTTAATTACATTCATTGAAGCCCTTTGCCTTTTCATTAGAGTGAAAACTTTATACTTTGTGTAACTTATTTCTGTGCTCTACGCTAGCAAAGTTGAGGCACAGAGGGCAAAACTGCTTTCCTGTGTTTAACCATAAACTGGTGATGGAGCTGGATTCGTGGCTCTGTTCTGAGATGATCAGAACATATCACTTGGATGCTTAAATTTCTTCTTTATATGGCATTTGCTTTTAATGGCATTTGTGGATGTAAGGAGTGGAATTACTTCAGTTGGTATAATTTTCTCTGGACCATTTTCCTACCTGTTGGTGACTAAAATAAGGGGGTTTCTAAAGCGAGCACTGGTTTGAGAAGGAGGTTGAACCAAAGAGCTCAGGGCCTTCAGTTCTACTTTATTCTGTGACTCTGCTCTTAATGTTTGGTCCTAATATGTCTTTGTTGATACTAGGGGAGGATTTCACATCAGCTGTATTATAGAGGTCAGTATCTGAAATAGTCATCTAGGCTTTCTTTATATAATCAAAAATTTAAGTAGAGACCACAGAGTTCTGGATGTCATTTGTTTTAGCCTAATGGAGAGGTCTCTTCTATTGCCTGCTGACTTTGAAGCTAATTAATGAAACCTGAAAGCTTCATCTTTTATGGAAAGGGGGTCATGAAATAGAAACCCTACAAATCCTACTGTCTTTCCAGATCTGTGTTAAATGAGGAATATACATATATAACTCCTGAAGAGATAGGATGTCCAATTGTGTCATTTAGCCCCAGTTAAATAATCACCTGTTTAGTAGAAAAATGAGGCATGGAAGATCTAAGCCTGGAATACAGGCCTAAGCTTGAATGACTTTTATCTATTAGATAAGTAGAACCCATTATTCTTTATTATTTGTCACTGTTAATTCATAATGCTCCACTATTCCTATTAAGAACACTGGAAAAGAATGGTATTTTTATCCCTGGGAATGTTTTGCTGCTGTTGATCTTTTCTAGCCGAGTTGACCAGCTCAAGTATGATGTTCAGCACCTGCAGACAGCTCTGAGGAACTTCCAGCACCGCCGTTACATCCGGGAGCAGCAGGAGCGACAGCGAGAGGAGTTGCTTGCACGCACATTCACTACTAATGTAAATAGTCTTTGCTTTAGCTCTTTGGGTTCTGGAAGCTCTAGGCTTGCAGAGGAGTTTTGGGCAAGACATAGGTGTGACTCTTATGCTGCTGTGAGATGTAAGTGGAATAAAGATAGAAAAGAATAACAATGTGTGCTGAAAAAGTACAACTCTCACGAGGGACTCTTGAGCCATTCAGAGGCAGTAGTAAAAGACTCCAGAAGCTGCTGCTCCTGTTTTATCCAGTGCCTGATTTTATCTGGTAGTTGCAAAGGGGAAAATGAGTTAGGTACCAAATTTGACTTGGATTTGTGTCCAATGTCTTTGTCAAGTCCTGACATCTGTAAACTGTCTGAGTTACACACCCTGCTCTCAGTAGATGTCAGCAAGCTTTAATTTGTCCAAATCACACAGATGGAAAAAAACCCAAACCCTTGCTTTTTATCTGTAAATGATTTAAAAGTTTTTAATAACAGGGATGTGTTTCCACCTGTTCTTGTTAATTCTTGGCTCCTCCACTGGGAAGTTCCCCAGTGCAAATTCCTTTGCTTAAATAATGTAGGTTTGCTTTCGGCTTTCATTTTGCTGTGACTCAAAAGCTAGTCTTTGCTTTGTTTTTTGTGGGTTTCTTTTTTTTTAATTTATCTTTCTTTTTTCTTTCTTGTTAATTGCATATAACCCATCATTCCTTATCTATGTTGTCGTTATCTTATCATTCCTTATCTGTGTTGTTAGGGCAAGGAAGAATCGGGGTGAATGGTCTTATGTTCCTGAGATTGGGAAGTTCAGTGCACTTCTGAAAGCCTGACATAAAGCTGAGCCTGAGCTTTAGGTTGGCTATTTTGAAGTTATAAACAAGATTTGAAAGGAACCCTGAAACCTGATCTGGTTTTAAAACCCTGTGGTGTTTCTCTGAAAATACGGAGACGTTTTCCTACAGGAAAAATTGTCCAGAAATAAAACACGTTAAGTGGAACAGTTTTGAAGAGCAGTAGCTCTGCAAGTACAAAATAAATGGCAAATTGGGGTTTTTTCTCCTTTAGATGTTGAAAGGTGCCTCAAGATGAAAGGAAAAACACTCCAAACCATTATTATTTTGTATGTCTTTCAACTCATAATAAAATTGTGACTTTTAGAGTGACCCTTTAATAGGAAACCGATGATTGATTTGTCTGCTGTTGGCCTATCTATTGTGGTTAGAAGTTCACACGTTTCTATTTATACACTACCCTATTAAATAGAAATGACAGCTGAGTGTGTAAGCATCCTGAGTAAATGACTGTAACATACAGAACAGCTTTGGAAAGCTGTAGCAGTGTCTGAACAATCTGCTTAATTCAAAGAGAAATACGGTCTAAGGCCTTCCCTTGTACCATTCTGGAGAAAACCTCTTAACAGCAAGTGAAAGAGATGATGCCATCGAGTCTCCCTGTGAGGAGGGTCAAATCTTTGGTAGTTTTCTTCCTCTTGGGGTGTATGATAAAACCCTACAAGCTCCTCATTTAGGAAATCAAATCCTTGCTGATTTGAAGTCTTATACATACCTGAAATAACAGCTGCAAATCCAAGTGCTCCTGCTCTGCAGGCTCATGTAAGACAAGACACTTGTTTCAACCTTAGTGCTTCATTGACATTTGATCAGAGATGTGTGTGCTGACACAGGTTCTTCATCCACTGACTTTGACCCTGTGCCTGCTAACAACTCTTGTCCTTTATGCACTCTTACAGTCAGCAGTATATCCCTTGATGCTGTACAACATCTGACAGTGGATCATACATGTCATTCCCATATTAACTTCTATAATAATCACCAGAGTCTCCTCAGAGCAAGTTTGATGATGTTATATGCATGTAACCTACAGCCAGCAGTCAGATGCAGGGTATAAACCATCTTTTGCCTAAATATGAATGTTGGTAGCTCTTGTACTGAGTACGTGGGAGCAGGCAGGCCAGTGGTTCTGTGCTTACCTCTTACCAGTATCATGATTCCTGTTCCTAAACCAGGGTGGGAGTGATGAGCTGTTACCTTGACTCTGAGGATCAAAAGGTGTCCAGAGAAGATTAAACTGGAGGCCTTTGAAAGCCAAAAGCGATCACATCCTCCAGTCTCTTGTGCAATCCAGATTACTGAGTTTTATCTAGTTATTTCCATTTCAAGATGCATACTTGAGCTAATACATCTTTTCTGGAAAAAATGTTACTTTTTAATGGTTTCAGGTTCTTTTCAAGACTAGGCCTTGGGTGCTGAGTGAATCAAATCTTCAGGGAGCAAGGTCAATGTCTTTTTGCCCTCCTCAGAAATACACACCATGTTGTTAACTTACAGAGTGTCCTGCAGGCCTTTTGTCACTTAGAAATGTGATATTAAATCAAAGTCTCTCACTTGCAGGGATCACATGACTCCTTGTTAAACACCTTCTGCTACTTCTGATGTTCTCTCTTGTAATACCCTTTCCTACATCAGTCTATAAGAAATTCTCCACTTTTAATCTGACTTTTTAGCCTTTGAGAACTAATTGCAGTTGAACACACCTGATAAACTTTGCCTTTTGGCTTGCTTCCCATAGGCTTCTCTTACGTTTTTCCACTCAAATATGAATGTATTTTGTATTTGTATGAAAACCTATTTAAAACATAATCCTTCAAGTCCTGTCAAGGTTTTCTTGCCACATTTGTCTCTGCATGTTCTTTTTGTGGATCTGACTATGTGTGGACTGTGTGCTTGAGCAGGCAAGGTAACCAAGACCCTGCATTTCCCCCACAGGACTCTGACACCACCATACCGATCGACGAAACATTACAGTTTAATGAATCCCTCCAGAATGCCCATCGTGGCATGGATGATCTTATTGGCAGTGGGACCAACATCCTTCAGGGCCTGAGGGACCAGAGAGTGACATTAAAGGTGGGGGCATCCTGTTTTACCAAAAAGACCCCACATTTTTCTGTGTTTGTGATGACTTAAGTAGAACAAATACATGATTTTCTTCCATTACACTGCTTCAAGCTGAGAATGCTTGAAGGCCAAAACTCCCATTTAAGCTAAACCTGAAATCTTTACATTTTATAATCCTATTAGGAACATCTTTAAGCTCTTTTGGGAGCTGGATGGCCTAACAATCTTCACCTGCATGGTACTTGGTATCTGGAGTGATTAACATTATGTTCTGCTCCCTTTTGTTCTGTTTTGTTTGTGTTTAAGAATGGGTTGCTGTGAATTCTGTTCTTTTGGAAGCATCAGGTCCTTATGTTTTCAGAGGGATTTATCTTCTCACTCACAGATGAGGAAATAGCTGTTCATATTCCTTTTCCCCTTAGCTTAGCTGTTTTTACATACCAAAGACTTTGTTGCCCATTTACAAATCTGGCAGAAGCAGTCAGCCTGGAGACCGCTCACAAAGATCAGTGGGTTAATTTGGAAGCTTATTATTCCATGTAACTTCTTGGGTATTGGATATAAGTGTGTATGAACCAAGTATTCCTAACTTATTGCAAAGCTTTAATTGTTCTGGCTGTACAATTCCACTGTTCCACTGACTGCAAGACTCAAAGAGTCTTCACTTTCCTATTGTTTGCTTTGGTTTTAAGGCTTCCTATTTGGTTTCTGTTCTCCAAGCAAGTTTTTCTTCCGTTGTGAACTAGTGTGGAAACATTGCTGCAGAGACAGAAGTGCTGAACTTGAAAGCAGAGTATCCAGGGTTTGATGTGAGGGGTATGAAATGAGGTGAAAAATGTGATTATGTCTAACTAACAAAGACATAATCTGATTTCAGCAAAGGGCCTTCCACAGAAGAAACTGGTTATCTCACTTGGTACTGCGATTCTGTGTATTTTATGGATTGAGAAACTGTTTGTACATGTATGTCCAATATAGTTGACACAGACTCGGTCCTTAAAGAGCTTTTCTGATCTTAAATCAGATTTATACTCAAAGCCATTGCAAAATTTTACCTTTTCAGTCTCCTGCAAGCACAGATTCAGTGGACTGGGAGAACAGAAGGCAGAGGATTTATTTGGAGGTAGTAGAGCGCTGTGATGGGAATCTGCTATTGCCCCTGCTCAGAGAAGACACAACTAAGTCTTAAGGCTTTCTGAAGCAGAGTGTGCTCTTAAAGACTTGGTCCCAGAAGGCATTTTGAGACACTAGGTCCATTATCATTACCATGGTGTGACAAGGGTGTTTGCTGCCTCCTGTCCTCCAGCTCACTGTGTTTACCTCTCATGTGCTTACTGCTTATGATGTGGAAACTGGTGGCATCCCCATTCTGAATAATACTAACTGCTTCAGCAGTGAAACACAACTGAGGTGTGGGCCTGTCTGCACCCTTTCTTCAGTGCTTTTCTTTTGAAATCACAGTAACTACACTTTTATATGCCTTTTCATTGCACTCTACCATTAGCCTTACAGGTTTCTAGACCCACAGCTTCTTGTTGGTATGAACTGTGCCCCAGCAGGAGGGAAGTTGTACAAGAAAGGTTGTCTGATGAAGGAACTTCAAGCTCTTATTGGACTGTGTCTGAAAAAGGACCAGAAAACTCTTAATGCCTCTGTGGGGAGTGCATGTTCTCTGAGATGCTCTTCATGATGTCTCCATTTGGACAGATTGTTCTGTATCTTTAATCACGTTCTTGTTCATGTGTGTGAATTAATTAGTCTCATCATTCAGCTATTTCCAAGGTCCTGGTCTTAGATTGTAGGAGCTGTTGGCTAAGAGCAAGTTCCACTGATCAGAATTCATCGCTTGCCACCCATGGTGAAATACTCTTGGACTGTGTGGAATAAGAAGTGTTGGACCATGAGGTTAACTGTTTCTCTTTACTGTCTTTTTATTCTTAGGGTACTCATAAGAAGATCCTGGACGTGGCCAACATGTTGGGCTTATCCAACACAGTGATGCGGCTGATCGAGAAGCGAGCCTTTCAAGATAAATACTTCATGATTGGGGGAATGATTCTGACTTGTGTCATTATGTTTCTCGTCGTGCAGTATCTGACATGAGCTACTGAACTGTATTATCAGAGGTGATGGTCTTTTGGAGCAAGATGGACTGTCCTCCAAAGGGTACTGCTTTGGATAAGCCCCTCCTGTGAACTCCAGTGTTCACAAATCACACTCATGCGGGAAGCACACAGGGAAACAAATTTCTGTGGGGACACTGTAGTTGAGAATGGCCCTATAAAAAATAACCCCATCCTCTCCTGCTCTCACCTCATTGTCTGCAAGTTTAAGGATCTGTTAAGTAGGAAGCAGCAGTGAAAACTTTACCCAGCTGTATTGCAAGGTAGGAGTGTCCTTTTGGATAGGGATAGGTAGGGATAAGAGGATTCAAAGGCAGAGCATAAGATGTAATGAGCCTTTCCTGTGCTAGCTAGAAGGGACCCTGATCACTGTATTTTGCCATGAAAGAATGCCTCTGAGGAGAATTTGCACCAATTATAGCACACTGCTGGGGAGCCAGTGTGTGGAAAGATGGGAAGTAAAGGATTCCCATCTGCAAACTCACTGTTTTGCTTGGAGGGAGATGGATTGGTGGGGAAAGGTTTAAAGCACAGTTATGACCTCAGCTAACTTTTTTGTTTACACATACAGTATTAACGAGCACAAGTATTGCTGTTTTAGGCTGAAATGCTTCTCCTCTGAGGTATGTTTTGGTACCTCTTTATGCCCTGCAGCTTCCCAGTGGAAGCTGAATACTGTACTGCCTGCTTTCAGTTAGATGCACATCCAGCCTGTGTCATCCCACTGTGCCTAGTACCAAATATAACCTCTAAGACATTTTTAATGCTAGTGCACATCACATTTTGGTGAGTTGCTTTCACTTTCTGAGGTGGTTGGTTGGGGTTTTGTGCTCTGTGGCTGGTACTTTTTGAGTCTATGAAGCAGGCAAGTCCTCACTGTGCTCAAATTGAGGTTTCTGATTTTTATGTTCATAGAGCTGGAATGGGCTCTCTGTGCTGTTCAGAATAACAGTGGGATCAGGGCAACAGACCATTCACTTAAAATGAGCTGTGTCAAAAGAGTTTCCTGAAGTACGTGCCTTGGGATGCTAAAAACATCCCTCACGCTTGGGAAGGGTGTTCTCTGTGTTAACCTTTGTACCTGCAGAATTACTGTGAAAGATTCCCATACACATCATCTCACAGAGGTGAGGACAGCCAGCTTAGGTGTATCTATCTCCTCACAGTTATGAAATGCCTCATTGTTTAAATATGGCACTTTCCCTGCAGACTGGGGGGCTTCCATTGGAATGGCCTTCCTGAGATTTTGGGCATCATCCATTTCAATGAGCCTTCAGATACATTCCCATCCCAATGTGTGTACAAATCTGGAGCATTTCCAGACGTCCAACACAGAAAGGTCATATTCAGATGATGTGGCACAATGATGGCAATTCCTTGGGGTTTTTTCTGCCTGGAATGGTTTTGAGTCTCTTACTTAGTAACAGATTACGAGTTCTGTCATTCTGTCTTTGATGTAATGAGCTTTGCTTTTATTACGCAGTCTGGAGAAATGGTATTAATAACTGTACAAAGTGAATTTGGGTTAATATGGGCAAGTGAAGCAGCGTTTAGCTGTTGTTTATGCAGCTTTTTTACAGGTGTGTAACTGAAGTACTTCCTGACCTAAGTGCTGTGATACAGCTTTATGCCCAGATGAGAGAACCCAGCTTGATCTGCTGTTATAGGCCAGTCAGGTTCATACTTGGAACACAGGGCAGGAGAAGAGCCAGGGCTCAGAGCACTGGCTGGCTCCTGCAGATGCAGAAATGAAGGCCAGGCTGCTGTCAGTGCCTAGATAATGCTCTCAAGTGGTTCAGCAGAAGAAAGCCTCGATGCTTGTTACATACCCAGCGTGCAGCACACCTTCTGGTTGTCCATTTTCTGCTTCTCAGTGTGCTCCGTGCTCCTCAGCCCACCAGGCCTTCCCAAGGAAGCACGTTAGCAGACCAAGTACAGTTATTTGAGGGACGAGGGAATTAAAAGGAGAGGAAGTCTGCAGTGATAAATCACTTGCCTTACTGTATCTTTAATCTAAATCCTGTACCTAAATCCACCTTACATTTATTTTAAATCTGAAATCTGATAGACTCAGATACTGTGCACTTGAGAGATCCTCTTGTCTGAGATCAGTTGGGCACCTCTTAAGGGATCCCTGGCATATCGTTGTTCCCATAAACTGGTCCAATTCCACCTTGATTTTACAACTTCATGGTCCTCTGATGGTGTGTCAAGTTCATGTAGTTGTGACCTGGCGTAGCAGCATTTGTCTTCTACCAAGGTGGGACTTCAGCCAATTTGTTTCCTATATTTGGCTTGTAGTAGGAGCCATAAAATAATTGGAACTGGATTTTTTGTTTCCTGGTTTTGAAACTGTGTTGTCATTTTACTACATTTCTCTGTTTATTTTGCCCTTTTCGGGTCTCCATCTACTCGTGTAGGCCGATTTCCCCTTTGTAAGCAGTGTCCTTGCTATTCACTGTCTAGAGGTGGTGTGGGGCTTGAAGGAACTAGCTGGGTAACTGGATTTGATGACTTCAACAGATCTGTACTACATTTTAAGTCCAAAATGATGTACAAGGGCATCTGTGCTGTGTCAGACATGTAAAACCCTCAAAGCTTCTGTCAGTACAGCAGGAGCACAGATAGGCTCAGGATGCCTGCTAACATGAAATAAGACAGAGCTGAAACCCTTGTATCTTTACAGATACTGCTGCTGTGGCTCTCTGTAGTTTTCTTTCTCCCTGAAGACCACATTTCCCTCAACAGAGTTGTTTCTGAACTCATGTGGCATGGCAAGTATCCCAGCTGTTGGATGAACTGTTCTCATGAGAGGATACTGGAAATTAACTTGCCTCTGGAAAAAAACAGCCCTTTTTACCAGTATTTTATATGTGAAGGGGCAAGGGTGGGACATGATGTGATTCATGTGATGGGAATAAAGATGATCTCTTTTCAACCAAATGGAGGTTTTTACCTTGGCTAACATGCAATGTGCTCAGGTACCTCAACAAGCTGGACACATCCCAGTATTCCTGGTATTGAGACAGGTAGGCATAAGCTGCCTTGGCCAAGTGAGGAACCCCTGCCTGAGCTCAGATGTGAAGAGGAAGTTTTACAGGAAGTGGGAATGGGATCAGCTCCCCTTGGAGGAATGGATAATGAAGGACAAAGCTCAGCTGACACTGAAACTAGTGAGGGATAAGAAGGGCTTGTATAAGCACATTGGCAGCAAAAGGAAGGAAAACCTCCAGCCAAAGGGGACACTAGAGGAGGCAGCTGAGTGACCCAAGTCTTTCCTCCTGCTATCTCTCCCACTGTTTGCCCGTCCAGGAAGGTGTGTAGTGGCAGACACTGAAGCCTCCACCAAAGGGAGAGGTGGCTGTTTTGGTTACCATGAGGAGGGGGAGTGTGGAACCAGATGGAAACATGCAGGGAGGCATAAACCAGGAATGTCCTGCATATGGAGGGAGAAAGTGTGCAATGAGGAGAATGGAGATAGGAAATGCAGGGTTGATTTCCTTCCCAGTTCACTGAGAATGGACGGAGAGAAGAGGGGGCTCTGCAGAGAAGGCACCAGCAGGGAAAGGGTTCATGTGGAGTAGCCCAGGTTGCATCTTTTAGTATGGAAGGTGTGGAAGATCATCTTTCTCTTGCAATTTATGTTTTGGGTTGCAGTCATTCAAGTTCCCCACAGCTACAAACCACTTATTAAATGCCAAAACATCCAGCAAAGAATGCAAAAAGCAACATCTGTAGCATGAGGCAAAACCAGTAGTAACACTACCTGTTACTATAGTAATCAAATGTCTCAACAGTAGAAGAAAAATACCTCTTTGTAAGCTGTGACATAATGCAAAGGTGACGGTGTCATGTCTTCACAGTAATACTGTGTAAGAATTTTATCATGGAATCACTGAATGGTTTGTGTTGGAATGTCAAAGCTCATCCAGTTCCAACCCTCTGCCACAGGCAGGGTCACCTTCCACTAGAGCAGGTTGCTCCAAAGCCCTGTCCAACCTGACTTTCAACACTTACTTTAAAATATTATTTATAATATATTAGAATGTATTTTATATATATTATATATTATACATAGTATATAATGTATATATTATTTATGTTAAAATACACATATTACTATTTCTGTGGAAAGCCCACATTTCCATATTCTGAGAGGCAGCCAGAGGAAGACATGGGTGCCCTGTGCTGCCTGTGGGGTACACATCATGGAGCCAGACCTGTCTTCTTCCATCCTTTCTGCTCTGCCCCTCTTTCTGCACAGGCTGTTAGCACATTTAGGATTTGGTTACACAGTAGTCTGAACAAACCTAAGAGGGTACCAGGAGCAACAACAAGGAATTCCAGTGTGTCCAGGAATCTGTGCCTCAAGGGAAAAAATGCCTCTTCTCTGAGTCACAAGTGACAGCTGCTGACAACCATTCCTATCTCAGATATCCATAGGCATTTCTAGTCAGACCAGCCCTGTTGCCACAACACTGGTAGCCCAGACAAGGCAGAAATGGCCCAGCAGGCAGGATGCACTCACCGAAGTGCTCAGAGCAAGCACAGGCACTGCTGAGCTTCCAAGAAACTGAGGTTGAAGTAAGTACATGCTCCAAACCCCTCCCTGGCAGACCAGAAGGGGCTGGTAATTCCCTGCATCCCATGAACTTCTCCTGGCAAGGGCCACATCTAGCCTCTAGGGAAGGGGGTAAAGGTTCCAGCACCACCCAGCCTACCCATCACTAGAGCCTAACACAGGAATATTGTGGCTGTGACCATAGTGATAGTCACATGAAAGTCCTCACTCTGCCACCTTGGAGTAGCTGCTGTTTGGCATACTGCTGAAAATATTCCTTGTCCTGTGGTGAATACGAAACAAGCAGAAGGAGCTGACAGCCCAGTGATACACAATATTGGGGTTTTACATAGTCATAATGCTGGAGGAGGGTCATCTCTGTGTTTTACACCCTTGAAGCCTGTTAATCACTTTCCCCAACCCTCCCAAATAACTGCAGGGAACAGTAAAATGATAGGTTTCCTGCTCTTCAAAGGCAGCAGCACATGCAGGACATGCTTAAGGAGATTGAGAATATGGGATTTCAGATCTCAGAGCTCTATCATGTGTTGGTAGCACCCACCTTACAAGACAAATCCACTTCTTGTGGTCCCTATCCCCCAATTACTACGGCCAGGGGATGTTGTGCAGTCACAACCATGACCTTCCAAGCCCTTCTCTGCACTTCCTCTGCAGTGCAGACCCAACCAAAAGCAGGTAGTTACTGCACTAAGCCCTTCACCAACTGGCAATTAAATGAGATTAGGATAATGGAGCCCAATTATGGCATCTATCTAAAATTACAATGCTCTGGCCCACAAATCCTGCAAATAAGCTACTGCAGCCAATCCAGAAGCTGACATTTGCCACCACTTTCATTTGAAGTGGCAAAAGGAAAATCAAATAAAGGCTGAGTGGAAGGTTTACTGTGGAGGCATTTCTTTATTCAGCAGAACAAAGAGTCTAACAAAGCACTGCAGATGAATTTTAGAATGAGTCCAAGAGTATTCATAACCTTTTTATTCTAAATTACCAACAAGAACCTCAATAGAACTGAACTTTAAAATAAAATAAGCCTGATTTTGTACATTCTGTTCCACATGTGTTGTGTTACACTGGTAGGAATACAAATGGGAAAAATCCAGTACTTTCAGGAACATACTTTTCAAAATCTGAAAAGCATTTCTTGCTCAACAAACACCAGATGTAGTTTCTTAATTCTTTGTATATTTAGATCCCGTTTTTAACTTTGCATCTGCTTTTAGAAATACACTGCTTAAGCCAAACATTTACACAGACCCAGATAAGTATTCTGAGTGACTTAAACTATTCCTGCCTCCACCCTCCCCAACAGAGACCGGTTATGTTAGAACCTCAAACATGTTTTATGTGTTAGAAAACTTTAAAACTCTAATGGAAACTAGATGAGTACTTAGGTGTACTCTTTAAACTTCCCCTGCTTGGTATTACTCATATTGTAAAGAAGTCACAGAGGGTTCCCATTAACATATGACCTGAAGCACCACGGGCTCACTTGTGACAAAGTCAAGGCCTGAAGCTTCAAAGGCGTGATCAGGATGTTTTCAACGAAGGCAGAAGTCTCTGTAAATGACAATGTAGTTTAAAACCCAAACTACGCACTTCCCATACCCTATGTGGACAAACTCAGATGCTGACAAAATAACAAGCAAAAAGTGCATGCGCAGGCAAAAAAACTCTTCCAGCTTTGGCCGATCCAGATGGTTTTAATTCAACATTACACAGTAGGAAGTCTCAGCCTCCTTGCAGGCTGAAGAAGCTCTCAGAACTCTATGGTCTCCAGGCTGCAACAGGCCCTCAAATGACTACATGTTATGACATTAGAAAGCCTCCTGCAGAGAAAGCTTTCTGCACCTCCCCAGCAAACAACCAAATGTTCTCAGGTATGTCCAGTAGAAGTCCCACAGAAACCACGCTTGGCACCATACACTCCTGAGAACAGCAGCAGAGAGTGTTGCTTTGCAGATGCAAGACATGCTTATGGGTGCAGGGTAGAAATTCCTGCAAATCACTGTTGTGTGGTTCATGACTTCCATCAAAATAGGACTCCAATAGTTCCTGCTGTGCCAAGGCCTGAATTCACACATACCTGCCACTTTTGCAGGGCATTTCCTCTCTCCCCTTTGGCCCAGCATAATTACAGCCTCTCTTTTACAATTAGCACAAAACACAACTCTGAAAGGGCCTCTTTTCAAACACACACTTGTTTTAAAGCATCAAGCTAAGGGGCAAGATTTTAGGGATATGTGCAACCCCCTTGTACTGTTCTGTTTCCCACTGTCAGTTCTTTGATTAGGAACTTAAT